GGGGCTTGCTAGCTGACGGCTTAGCTTGGGGCAGACGGAGATCAGGCACGCCCATATTTGCCTTGTCAGTGATGGTGATCAGAGGCACCGCCGCCTTGCGATGGGATGGTCCTGCCTGCTTCTTGCCAATGAGCTGGGCCAAAGTCTTTTGCTGCTCAAATCCTTTCTTGTACAGGCCTTTCAGCTTGTCTGCCTGTGATTGATTCTTGCTCCTGAGATTCTCTCCATCAGCTTCGCTCTGCTTCAGCTGCTTCTTGAGCTGCTGGTTCTCTGCATTGAGTCTGTGGCAGAAGTGCAAGATGGCAACATTCAACAGACCACTCACAACAGCTACAAGCAAAGCAACGCTCAACAGGCCAGTTACAACAGCAATGGCTGGTGCGAGGCTTGCTGCGGGTAGACGGCGTCAGGTTGGTTGTTGGGAAGCACCCGCCCATGGTTTGCACTGACAATACGAGGAAGATTATGCTGCCTGGCGGCGGAGAAGAAGTAAGTCCCTTCTTTGCTATTGCTCCCATTGATCCAGGACTCAGACAACAGACAATTGGTGGTAAGGTCCACGCTTTCTGCTGCTGCACTCTGCTGACCAAGGGCATGATTCTGCACTTCTCCTGCGCTGAGCCAATCTCCGAGTGATTTGCGTCCACCGATTGTTTGCTGTTGCCTTGTCTCGAACCACAGTTCAGGTGAAGAACCTTGTTCTTGTTCAGAGTCGGCCAAGGCCAAAAAGGCCGGGTGCATTTGCTCGGCGCTCATGATGGTCGAGGGAATGGCAAGGAATGAGCAGCGGGCCAGAACACATTCATGTGAGCCATTTGCGCCAGTTGGTGTAGCAAGCAAGAGGGGTGATTTCCGGTGCAGCCGTCCTGCTGTTGGTAAGATCTGCTGTTCGTAAGATCTCAAGGCAGAGGAGCCATGAAGTCACCTTACGATTGTAAGACGAGCGCGCGAGGCGCTAAGTATTGAGCCCTGCTTTCTTCCTTGCTATTGCTTTTGTTGATCCAGGACTCAGACAACAGACAATTGGTGGTAAGGTTCACGCTTTCCGCTGCTGCACTCTGCTGGTCAAGGGCATGATTCTGGATTCCTCCTGCGCTGAGCCAACTTCCAAGTTAGGGTTAGGGTCAAGCTTGCATTCCCTTCAGAAGCATAGGCAAAGCCATCTTTGCCTTGCCAGTATCCAGAGGCATCAGCCCCTTGCTGTAAGCTGACTTTGCCTTGCCCCTGCCATCGAGCTGAGCCAGTGTCTTCTGCTGCTCAAACTCCTTCTTGCAGGCCAAAATGGTGCTGTAAGGAAGCACTAGAGCTGTTGACTAGGTGAGTCTTTCCTGCGCGCTTTGACTTCTGTCTCGCTTTTGCATCCCACATCCTCCCGAAGCAGCACCTCTAGTCTCTCAGATCTATTCAAATGACACAGCTGATCTGCAAGCCATCAAGGCCTGATCAACCTGGCCCCTAAACATGTCAATAAAAATCTCAACCCCAATGATCTCAATGATGACTCCTTCGCTTTGGCAGGAGCGTTTATGCATGCGTGCAAGGGTTAAAGCATTGGCCATGGGCTCACAGCAAAGTTGGGCTGCATGTCACTTTCACGTATGAATTGTTTGGGCAGCTGTTCATGAAGAGACAATTCTTGTTGAGTGTGCTTGCCCGCCTGAGCAAGAGGCGCCATATTAGCAGGACCAGATGAGTGCTGCAAGGAAACAGGAGAGACAAAAGATGTGTTAGCTTTGATGCTGGACAATTGTAGTGTTCCATCTGCCCCTCAACCTGGCTCTTGTGACCTTTGCCTGTGGCCTCAAAGCCGAAGCGCTACATCACCTGACCAATACTTCTTCTGTCTGCCTGCTTTTCCCCCCTCACTATCCTGCTGAACGTGGCAAGCTCCTCAGCACAAGCCGTGCAGGTACTCACTACCCATTGCGTGTGCACACTGGACTGAGTGACTCAAGTGGGAGTCACAGTCAAATGTCTCCCGTCGCTTCAACCCTGCCAACACTCCGAAGCATCCGTCGTGCGTGTGGAGGCGCGACGCGAAGAGCGCGTCTATCGGCCGATATGTCAGCTGTTTTTCGCGTGCACTCGCGCGCGCGAACCTCCGCATCAGCTGGAATACGCGATGCTGCTGCTGGTCCACATCCTCCATCCCTCACGCGCGCAGCCCTCATTCGGCTCCTTTCAAGCGCTTCACAGTCCCACGCAGCGACGCACTGCAGTCTCGCTGCCCGTCGTCGTCCCAGATCGCTTGGGCGAGCGTTCTATCACTGCACTCTCGCGTGCGAACATTTCGGCGCCAGGCAGAGCATCAGGCCGGGTCGAGCGCGAGCGCGAATGCGATCGCGCTGAGCCCTGTCCGAAGTGTTTCCATCGAGCAATCTTCGAGGATAGCGCATCGCACTGCTGCATAGCATCTCACGCTCGCTCGACTCGGTCTGAAGCGTTCAACGCCGCACACGCATACGCAGCACCCGGCCTTCCAACCAATCTTCAAGCGCATCGAAAGCCCAGCGTGTAGTCCCGTACGATCACGTTCATCTCGACTTGAGCCCATTCCGATCAGGCCTCACCGATCCGCACGCTTCCGCAGAGACGAAATGCAGGTGGATCGACGCGGATCTGCAGGAGCAGGCTCGGGCTCGGAGGAGGAGGAGGAGACGCGAATGATGGAGGGAGTGGAGCTGGATCAGTTGCAGAATGGTGAGTGTGCGCGGCCTGGAGTGGGGCACTGGCGTGCCGAGCTGCCACACTGAGCGCTCAAAAAGAACGGGAAGGGGCTAATGGGGCGCTGAGGAGGGCTGAGGCAGACAGCCGAGGCTTGGATGTCGAGTCATGATGTCGGGGAGGAGGAGAGGCAAAGATGGGTGTCGATCTCGGCATACTCGCCCAAAGAGAGAGGAGGTGCAATGATACGCAGACTCCTGCTATTGCTACCCTCCGTCTTCGATCGATGAGCCGAAGCTGTCTCGTATTGGACAGCCTTGAACGGCCAGGGTGGTCTCCTCGGCAGTGCCGCTGTACGGCAAGGTGGATGTATGCGCCTGTTCTGGTGCACATGACCCCGCCTCCTCCGCCCTTGCTTGACTCCTCTCTACGCCTGCTCCGCTCTGGCGTCTCGATTCAGCTGCTTACTCTTCGCTCTGTTCTCCTCTCAGTGAATGCGCAAGCCTCAACCTCGGCGCACGTGTCCATGGCCGACGCCACGCTCACTCGGGCCCTGGACGAGCGCCTACAATCTCACTCGCTGGTCGTGCCGACCGACGACCTGCGCGTCCAACAGCGTCTTCGAGAGCTGAAGGAGCCCATCTGGACATTCGGAGAGCGCAAGGATGATAGGCGCGTCAGGCTGAGGGAATGCCTTTTGAGGGAAAAGATCAGGAGAAAAGAGGCGGGAGAGGAGGAGCAGGAGGAGGAGGTAAGGAGCGAGAGCGAGAGCGAGGATGAGGTCAGTCGAGCGCTACGATGTTGTGTTCTGCGAGGAGGGTGGAGATGTTGCAAAGCGGGGACGAGGCAGGGACGCTCGAGAGCGACAGCTCGGCTGTACGCGACCGAGTAGCTTAGGTGGCATAGAATGTTCAAACTGACGGTACCGCTGCTGCTCTACTGCTACTTCATCCATCTCTGGCCGCTCGCCTCCGACACGCCTCCGCCATCCGACTCACGCCACTTTACGCCTCACAATGCCTTCAGCAAGAGGAGGAGTTCTTTACAGAAGGTACAGAGGAGCTCTTGAGCGCTCGGAGAAGGTTAGCGGGATGGAGCTTGATCTCGTGAGTCGCGCCTCCTTGGTTGAAACCAGTTTGTATGCGAAGGAAAAGTCCCGCAAACGCAGGCTGGCTTGTTCATGGATAAATAGCTGACTTTCCACGCTACACGCTCCACGCTCCACGCTCCATGCCACCGCCATCCGCTTCTCAAATCTTGCCTGTTCGACTTCGCCGCCTGAATGCTGCTTCAACATCTCAGCGCCCGGACACGACACGCCCACGAGCTAGCTCAGAGCAAGATATCGCTGCAGAAGATCGTAGCGAGGAGGAGGGAGATCTACGAACCTCTGAAAGTGAGTATGGTGGGCAGGAGGGCAGGAGCGGTCGGTCGGCTGGGTGATCACGTTTGGCCGCAGTGCAACAAAGCTTCTGTTGCGCAGAGGTGTGAATGCAAGAGGGTGCGAAGGCCAGACGAGGTTCGCAGATGGTCTGAATGACGAGCGCATAGGGCGCAGCCAGGAGACCTGAGGCAAGAGTCTCTGACGAGAGGAGTTGCACAATGACGCGTGCGGGTCCAAAGCAGCAATAGGCTTCTCGATCGCGCGCTGCCAGTCGAAACCGCGAAACCAATCCCTTTCTGAGCCACGATGCTGATGCGCGCTTTGCTCGCTTCTGCTCGCCTTTCACATCGCAGCGCTATCAAAATCTCGGATCCCAGCTGGGCGATACGCGACCCATTTCCAGCGTTCGCTTTTCTCCCGGGAAGACGTTTACTCACGGGGAAGAAGAGAACAGGACCAATGGTCGATTTTTGGCGACGGCTTCGTGGGGAGGCAGCGTCAAGCTGTGGACATTGCCGGATGCCAAGGTCTACGCAGAGCTAGGCGGTGAGTATTCGCTGTTCGCTCCACGCGGTCTCGTGTAGCACTCACTGATCATCTCACCGACCCGCGCTCTGCAAGGTCACCCCAATGAGAGAGTCACAGGTCTCGCCTGGCATCCTTTTGCCGGATCAGGCTTCTCGAATCCGCACGAGAGTGTGCAGCTGGCTAGTGCGGCCAGCGATGGGCTCATCAAGCTTTGGTCGGTGCCTAGACCGAAGAAGGAAGGCGAGAAGAGGTGCGTAAGGTTTAGCTGGGCATCACAAAGGGTGTATGCGTTGCACAGGTTCTGATCCACTCCCTACGTATGGTCTGGCTCATCTCCGCTACTTCGCTGCACTCTTGCTCCCGTGTTCAGCTCGACAGCTCCACTGAGCACGCTCAAGGGCCACGACGCACGAGTAGCCCGCATCTCCTTCCATCCGACTGGCTCACACCTCGTATCGGCGTCTTATGACGGGACCTGGAGGCTATGGGACGTGCAGAGTGGGAAAGAGTTGCTGGTACAGGAAGGACACTCGAAGGAAGTTTACTGTGTGGACTGGCACCCGGACGGTGGTCTCGTCGGAAGCGGGTGAGCAATGTTGAGGTGCAGATGAGAAGCGCTCTGAGGCTCGGTAGTTGACGCGCATCTATGCCACGGTCAGTGGGCTGGACGCGCTGGGTCGATTGTGGGATGTGAGATCAGGAAGGTCCGCCATGGTTTTGGATGGACATGCTCGCGAAATCCTCTCGCTCTCTTTCGCTCCCAACGGCTACCAAGTCGCTACCTCGTCTGGCGACGACACGGTACGGATATGGGATCTGCGACAACTACGATGCAGGAACATCCTCCCCGTCGGCAAGAGCAGCGTTTCGGAGGTCTGCTGGTACAAGTCCGACTTGGAGCGCAAGTCTCACTTTGGCCGAATGAGAGATTTAGCTGGTGCAAAGTCGGCCAGCGACGATTCGAGCTCGATGAAGGAAGAGGATGGAGAGATGAGAATGGATACGAGCGGTAGCTACCTCGTCACTGCTGGCTACGATGGATTGGTCAAGCTCTGGTCGGCGGATGACTTCCAACTGCTTAGGGTCCTCGACTCGGGCTCGGGCGTGCCTGGAACGGCTGACAAGGTGATGAGCGTCGATGTGGATTCGGAGGGCCAAAGCATCGTCAGCGGACATTATGGCAAGACGTTCAAGGTGAGTACGTCGTGAGGAAGGGATCCACGGTACAGTGGTGCTATTGGAGGATCATTCGTCTCAGTAAAGCTGAGGCGCCTATTTCGCCCGACTTACCTCTCTTTGCCGCTGCCGTTTAGATCTGGGGAGTCCTTTGACGCGCAAAGGCGGCGTCTCACTGCGATGGCAATGAAATGCGGTTCGCTTAGCCGTACGTCTGCGCTGTGCCAAGCTGTTGCGAACGAATCGGCGCGAAGACGGAAACATCGCTCCACCTCATCTCGACATGCGCGTCCATATCGTTGGAGATGAACGGATGACCAGAGATGCTGAGCGAGACGAGCATCGCCAACGAGATGTTGCTGGGTCCTTGCAGCGTCTGAAGCTCGTCTACCTGTAGCCGCGGCATCGGGAGCGCCGATAAGACGCGTAGGACGTTTCGTTTGGACAAGCAGATTCATTACCAGAGTTCGTCAATCTCGTACAGAGAAACAAATATGTCCCAACTGGCTCGCATGGAATGGGGAGAGGCATGAGGGAGCGGACTCTTGCCACTCAAAACACTTGCCGCCCATCATTTCCCCTGCTGCTTTGTTTGCGCTTACATACTACTTGGGAGGGACGGCACCATCGTTGCCGGCTTGTGTGAGACGCGAGGGTTCCTCTGGAGGACCGGGCTCGAGAGTCTCTGGCTGAGGTGTGTCACCGCCGTTCGACTTGGAATCTGGCTGTCCGTCGATAGTCTTGGTCGGTGGAGCCACTGGCTGGGCATCTTTGGTCGTGGTATCAGACTCGAGCTGCAGAGGCTGTCCATCAGGTCCGAGGCCGGGCGTCTGGTCTTGGTTCTGCGTCTGATCCCGGTTCTGCGCCTGCGCCTGCGCCTGCGTCTGCGTCTGCTCTTCGGGCACCACCTGGCTCTCCAAGTGCTCCTCCTTCGGCTTGCAAACGACACCCTTGTCCGTGTACTGATCGCAAGGCGCGATTCCCTTTTCCTCGATCCACGCAGCCGAAATGCGCTCCCTTCCAAAAGCGTTCAATCCCACATTGATCCAACCCACGATCCTGTCCAGCTTCTTGTGCACCTCGGCGCTAAAGTCGGACTGGGAGTGTTCGTGGGAGTAGGATTGGATGGAGGAGAGATCTTTGAAGGATTCGAAGGCTCGACCGAGAGCTGGGAGGGATTTGTAGATGTATTTGGCTGCGCCGACCATCAGCAGAGCGTACTGCGCCTCGATCAACGACTCGATCGTAGCATTGACAGTGGATTCGCTAGTATTCGGCAGTCGACGAGAGGACGCGTGAGCAGATATGCACCAAGGATCACGGACGGATATCGCACTACTCACGCGTGATTCAAGAGCGCTTGAACGCCCTGCACTTCTTTGCCTTCGATGTGGACTGCCGGGTCCGATAGAGCGTCTGCTCCTGCATGGATACTATCCGTAAGGTCGTTCAAAAGCAGCTGAAGCGTCTCTCCTTGCTCGCTGCGTGGGGCGCGAAAACAAAAAAAAAGGGGGGGGGACCGGCAATAAGCGCGAGAGTGAGGCTCCGTGCTGCGTGCTGCGTGCAAAGTCAAAGGGAAATACGACTCACAAATCTCCAGCGAGGAATTGTTGGAAGCCTGCGGCGAAGGTGTCGAGTTGCTGATTGACGCTGTCCACAGTCAGCGCAAACGCTTGACTACCGATGTTGGGCCCATCATCATTGTCTCTTGCGGCGATGCTCCAAGGAGATGCCTTGCCGAGCGGAAGAGCCGCGACGGAGCTCAGCACGACGGCGAGAGAGATGAAAATTGCCGCTGCGAAACGCATGTTGAAAGCTGGTTGGGTTCGTGGTTGTGTGCTTGACTCCGAACCGACGAGGGAGCTTGATGATGGCCGTGTGTGTGCGGGAGAAGTGCTCGATGAGCTCGTCTCGTCGTACGATATGAAGCTTCTCAAGGACGACTGTGCTCTGAATTTGTGTTGCTGGAGCTGTGCTGTGCTGTATTGTGCCCTTGCAGTGTGTGAGATGTCGAGGTAAGAGCGAATGAAGCGTTGAGGAGGCTGGCTTATATACCTCTTTGTCGCAGGGCCAATGGCGCTGATTGGCTAGTTCGTCGCTCGCATACGCTACGCAATCTGTCGTTAGCGTGTACCATCGCGGCCTTGCGAGGAGTGGAGTCACGCCATGCGGCCATGAGCGGCGCTCACTTTGCAGGCCACTTTCTCGATGAAGGCGCTCGCTTGTGAGGTTATTTTTGGCAAGCGAGAGCGAGCGAGAGAGAGAGAGAGAGAGAGAGAGAGAGAGAGAGAGGACAAGGAGGGCTCGGGCCGAAAGTGTTGGAGAAGGTGGAGCTCTTTCCGAGATGAAATTGCGAGAGGGCCGACGCGCACTGAGGGTGTTGCGATTGCGGCGCAATGAGGACCTTGCTCGTCTTGCGCGCGCGCGCGCGCGCGCGCACCACTCAGGTCACGTTCGAACACGGACGAGCCGCTTCGCCCTTGTTCGCAGAATGGAGGGGAGAAGAGATCGAAGGAGAAGAGAGAAGGGCCTTGGCTGAAGAAGGAGCTGCGTAGAGTGCGTGCTTGGGACGCCAATCATTAAAATTCCTGCG